GGAAGCCTTACAAAAGATTCAGGTGAATTTCTACGTTGCCGTTGGTTGGTTGGTTGGAGTCGTATATTGGATTACGTGGTACCTGCCCTCAAATAGAGTTAATTGTAGAACACGTGGTGGTAAACATTTGCAGGTAGTCTTAGCTGCTAATTTATTTATTGATTTTCTATGAGTCACACGCCTGCGTGCTCTTAAACGTGACCAAGTTTGGCGCTTACCAAACAGTTAGGTAAAAAGATCCAAAATGCCACTAACAACTTATTTAAAATATAGTTTTTTGTACGCAGCAACAACAATCGTCTCTATTATGCCAAATGTTTTTAGAAGTTTCTGCGGTTACGACCTGTGTAAAGAGTCTGCTGACGTTTGTATGTTTTTGTATTAACAGCGTCAAATCATAAGGAATTCTTCGTAGCTAGCCAAATAACCGGTGGTTTATAATGTGGTATGTACGGAACAAAACAAGTTGATGTAATGATCCATATTGTCTCTGTACACAAATTAATATTCGTCAATTCCAAACAGCCGATTACGTTTTCAATCATACAGGAAAACTTCGACGGTCGCGTTTTTGGAACAGATTAATTATAATGCAGAAATTATGTAAATATCTTATCTCTACATTTTAATTAGAATTAGCAGATAAAAATTCACAACACAGCGTTCACAATATCTTGCATAACGATAATATTACGGTCCATGTGCCATTGAGAATACGTTCTGTTGCCTAATCATCTTTTATATTAGTTACGGGTTTTCATTTCGATATTACAACTGTAATGTGTTACTTAAAAGTCACATTATGTAATTAGAGCATACTGCCTGCCTCTCTTTTACCTCAGGAAGTACAGCTACGATCTAGAATAATTTTACGGAATTCACCAATGAACCCCCTTTATTTGTAAAGGTTCTCTATGATCTATTTTGCAATCGAAAAGGCTTCGGATCCAATTCCTTCTTCCATTTTACATTTATTTCTTAGATTGGCTTCACTTGTGACTTATTAATTTTCATCGTATGAACGAATTCCGTAGGTACTATTGTACGTATTAAGGTCATCCTAGACGAGGGTTTGCGCCAAATGTTTAGTGTCATGTTCATAAAGAAACATGCTATTTAATTGGGTTGATGATGTTAATATTATTCTACACTGACCTTATTTTTTGTCACGCTCATGGATTTGTTTGAGCATGTGTCAGGTTTGTTTGCAGTTCTATGATATTGCTATTATAGTAGTCCTGGCTTAGCGACGGGAATACTAAGATTAGTGTGACATTTATAATGGGAGGTATCCTCTGGGAGGTTTTGGACGTGTGGGGGATTAAATCCGATGTACAAACAGCAGTAAATGTTTGCTAATAGCATTATGTTACGGTGAATAGTCAGTAATCCGTTATGTTGTTTACTGTTATATTCTCTCAGTATTAGTTCTTAGTGTTGTACTTAGAATGACTGGAATTTAGAGATGGTTTGTTATAGGAATTACACTAAAGAGTATCACTTTTTCAAGGTGTATTGAATAAAGTATTAAGATTATGATCTGTTATAAATATGTTAGAAAGTCTTAAACACACAGACATTAATTATTTCTGCTGAGTAAATAGAAATTTATCATACATGTAACAAACAGCAGACGCGGCTATTTTATACGCCTGTTTGTAAATATTGTTCGTTACTATAATTATACGAGGAATAACAAAGATTTTTACTAAGAACCAGTTTTGCCCTCGTAATATAATATTTCAAGTTGTAACTTGCGTAATATTTTAGGTAATGCTTACGGTATGAACGTTACTGTAATAAAATACTGTACTTTATTTGCCGCGTACAACAATAGCCTTTTTAGAATATTCCGAATTGTAAGAGGTTTCTCCAATCTTAAGAATTCGTTGAAAGTCCCCTAACAAGCCCATATATTTATTTAAATACTTCAAAGGCGTGTTCAAAATAAACATCAAATGTTTATTTTCTAAATAAATACGTATTCTATGGCGCAGTTGACTTAGCTGAGATCGATTAATACGCGATATTATAGATATTTGATTATGTTTTGTGAGAAAATTACAACCTAATCAATTTTGAGGTAATTCCTAAGAAAAGTAGAAAACAGTTTTATGTAGTTCTCTAGTAGCACACGTACGGACGATGTACAAATACAAGGTCGAAAGAGGCGTTCACTTTCGCTACCAGGTTTTACTAACAGTGAGCCTCACGATTTTCATGTTTCGTCGACAGCGACAACCAACACTTGGAGATTATTGCTTATAAAAACAATTATTCTAACGGCTCTAACAGCTGGTACCACGATCTTTTTATATTGCCTTTTATTCTTGCTCAAATTGCGGCATTTTTCAACTTAACTTTCTCCGTCTCCCAATTTAATTACTATCTGCTGTGCATTACGAATGCTTTGTAAAAATTGCGATGTAACCCGGATGGTTGATTCGGTAGTTTAATTTTACAATCTTTAATCGCAACAGGTGCTTGCCTCCATAGATTAAATACTCACAATGATCGATTGTGTACGAAATCAACTCGCAGAAGTCAACACGACCGGCTTTCACCAATATTCATGCAATAACACAACAGTATGGTGCTGCGTCGAATCAATCCGCTATTGTTTGACGTTGACGTCAATACAACTCGTGAAATGTACCCATACAGAGCCGAGGCCTTGCCAGTTTCTCGTTCGCCAATACTCGGTAACATTCACCTGTTACTTGCAAAGATCGCGTGTCAAAAGAATATCTCTGTCGAGATCATCGATGTTATAGAACATTAAAAGCTTCTTCGAAAACGCCGGAATTATCAGTCACAGCGGACGTCGCTTTTACTATTTGCTTTTACAATTTGCGAAAGGTCATCGTGGACGCGTTTAATAACTTTGGAATTATAATTTAGACGCAAATACCACAGCGCTGGCGTCATTGGGAGCTGTAAATAGTCCTAATTGGAATCAATATAGGAAGACTTGTTGTAAATTGGTATATCAATTCATTTTATATTTTTCATTGCTGCTTCAGTCAGAGGTCTCACACTCAATAATTGTTTTGTTGTGTCCATTGGGCTTGTTCTCTGCATTGTCACGTTCATCGATTAATTGTTTTGATGTGATTCTAAGTGCGTGGTGTAAAGTAATTTGTTGTCGTATTGAATTGGTTGGGTCGAACATACCTGTCCGGCACGCGAGGTCGAACAGCGGGTATTTGTATAGTCCATCGTTCATAGTGGGTTGACCTACTTGGGGGTGATAACGTAAACAAGTCATGGCATAACACCGGAAAACATTTTAAGCTTAGATGTGACCGACAAGCCACACCACACCTTAAACATTTGACCATTACTGATTTCTACAATTTCTACATTTTTTAATAATGACATTAATATGACACTTTAAATGTTATTGAGAATAATAGGGTTGAAGGCAAGATTGTTAACTGCGCATAATTCTCTTCCGGATAGTCATGAATGACCGAAAAGGAAGTGCTATAATTATTTTTCACTTATGAAGGTGAAAGAACACATTTTTATTTTTTCAAAATCCAGAATTACTTTAATACATGTTGTTGTCGCCCAAGTATGCACATAAACCATTATAAAGATGGCCGTGATAAACATTTATGTAATAATTGGGACTTTATCCAAACAATGTCTGCTAAAAATACTTCAACAAGTAGACCCACCGCGATGATCACTAGCGCTCTAGTAAATTATGGAATTAAGATTTATAGAACAAAAATCTTGAAAACACGTCCTTCAGTACTTTAGCACCAATAGAAATGATAACGTAAATAATGTTATCATTTCCTTATCATAGATCAATCAGACCATAAACATTAGTATTCTTAATGAACGGTTGTTAAGTTAATGGAGGATTCCGTACTCCACATTTTAGTGATGCGTACTGAAATAAGCTGGTATGAATGGATCCTCTCTTTCGGTGCCTCAACGCTGTTAAACGCCACATCTGTTGGCAGGACGCAGCACATGTCGATTCCCGATAACGTTCCAAAAATAAACCAACGATAATTCGTTCAACACTCACGCAGCGCATGGAATGTTCACTCATTGAGTGCCCACTATACACACTTCCACTTCCTCTACTTTCTTGTGTGAATATGCGGCCGCATTAAGAACGCCATCGCCACTTATGTCTGCGCTGTGTTTTGTGTATCTTTCAAGAATTATAGCTAAACATATGATAAAACTTTTTGGGGTCAACGGCCGCTTTCTCCTACTTAGTAAGTTGGTATGCGTTCTTGAATCTCTATTATGTCATTTCTGCTGCTTGTTGCAAAAAGGGAACTACTGTACGGAATACTAGAAGACATCTGTCTGAAGTCTTTGACACTGTTTATAATTGTAACTGTAACCATCTCATTGAAATTCATTGCAACATTTACAATTACGCCTCGCAGTCTCATAAGGAACTGCTTTGGTAATCGTTCGTTGAATATAAAATATGTAGCTCTAATGTCGTCCTTTAACAATGCACGTGAATTTAATCGCTTTCCGGATTATAAAATCCTAATACCAAACTTATAAAAAAGAAAGGCTGCCTCTTGTTTGTATTGTAAAAACACTCAAACATGAAATACAATAATCTTTACGTCACTTTGCTCAAGTGGTTTGTAAACCTTGTGTTAAGTTTAAATAAAACATAAATTAGTTTCACGTTTATGAGAAAACGTAAACCTTACCTAGTAAGTCGGTCGTCGGCGAAATCTTTGGCCTGCAAAGATCTTTGTTTATACTGTTTCGAAGTTGTTTAGTTGCGTTTCGGCTGCGTAATCGAGGTGATCCTTATTCGAATGGTATGCGGAGCGGCGCGTCTATTTGTTGCGTAAAACAGTTTGCCATACGCCGGCCGCGGGGTAGGACGTGTGTGCTGCGTTTGCACAATGTTCAGTGTTTAATTACGCGCTATGATATATCGCAAGGCTGCTCGCATTGTTTTAACGCTACGCCAGTGTTAGAGCGCAGCTACTATGTTTATGTGAGGAGGCTAATTGAATAATCGTGCTCTGTGTTCCGACTTAGTGTTGAGTTTCTTTGCGTTAGAAGTGTGAAATGGTTAGAAAGATCATAGTTGTCGGCATTCAGCATTACGAGGATCCCTTTTATAAGTACGTAACAAGATTTAGGGTTTGTTGACATTTACGAGAAGTCATTTATTTTGTAAAGGAAATTGAATTTCTGGGAATTGTAGAATATATGATTATGGTGTCATTTTATAAATGATTTCATTTTTTTTTTATTTTTTGTTACAGACATGTGACGGGTTCTAACGGGCCGCCTGCAGGATGCGGCCACCAAAGAAACAGATCCCTGGACTCTGTACTACAAAGGATACCAGAAGACATGACACCTACGTCGCCAGAGGGGGCGCCACTTCGAATTCCTATCGAAGTGCCCGCTCCAAGATTAGCGCTTCCACCAGAGGTGCCCACGGGCTCTGATGACTCCGGTATCCACACGCCCCCAGATGGCAATGACGAAGAACGACCACAACCCCCAGCCGCTGCAAGGTCAAGAGAAAGCCTAGACTCTGGTAATCCCGAAGACACAGATAAACCTCCTGAACCTCCTGATGTTTTAGAAACAACAGTAAAATCAGATATTTGTGCCGCCGAAACATCTAAAAATAAAGACTTTCTGCTCCGATTGTTCGAAAGTAAACTGTTCGATATGAGTATGGCGATCTCATACCTGTTCAACTCTAAGGAACCGGGTGTGCAGAGTTATCTGGCGAACAAATTATTTTCATTCCCATACGAAGACGTGGATTTCTACCTTCCACAATTAGCGACTATGTACATAGAAATGGGCGATGTGGCGGACGTGTTGAAACCGTATTTGGTGTTCAGGTGTAAACAAAGTGCTGAATTTTCACTAAGACTCGCGTGGTTATTGACTGCTTTCGGAGGTGACGCTAAGAGATCAAGAGCAACGAAACTTAGAGATTCAATATTGGCTGAGGAGATCAGGCCAGCGGCGAGAAGAGGGCATCACAGGTCGCAGTCAGATGCTTCTGCACTGAGGCTTGCCACTCCCTCGGGAAGGCACCTTGGAGACCTGGCGTCTGGTCGAGCATTCGACAATGGATGCCTCTGTGGTGAACAGTGTTCGTGTGGAGCACCAAGACTGGCGCCTCAAATACAGGTAACTTAACTTAATTTATTTAAAAATATTCCGTCATTTACTTTTCTTTGTATATACAATTGTCGTCATACATGATTCTGATGTATTTTATTATTTACAATACTTATGAGGCTTGACATTGATTATAATGAAACGTGTGCTGATAACGTTGAAGTGGTTACTTGGTTGTTATGCTAGCCTATACTTTTCCGTATCACATAGCCTATAGCATCTTCAAGTAGAAATCATTATTTCTTTCTGGATTTTTTTCAATGATGCCGTTTTTATTGTATTTGTCCATCGACAAATCGACACTTTTTTAATAAACCAGCAGTTTCTCCCTGCTTCGCACGGGTATCCGACGGTTGCGGTTTCTTTTATAAGAACCTTCTCCTGAAAATCACGAACACAACAATATAAGAATTGTCTAAATTGGTCCAAGGCGTTTTTGAGTTACGCACTTACACATTTTGCTATTCATATTTATATGATAATAAATTTATAGTATACCAGATTTACCTCATGATATAACGGATATTACCTAATAGTGGAGCAGTAGCTACGATACTCCTTGAGTCTAATGTCGAAATGTTTGCAAAATTGTTAAGGACTGGGTGTTCACGTTCACGTTCTGTAGCACGCGTGTATCCGTGTCGTACTCGAGAGCCAGTCACCAGCCTACGTAGAACCTTGGCTCTAAAGACACGGTACTACGATCATTAACATTATTACGAAATTATATCTTGCTGCTAATTAACAGTAATATTATTTTATTGAGCCGCTATAAGATTTGAACGCACGGAAGGACGTAGCCCACATTTGATCATGGGAATTAAATACATAATTATGGTCCTGTTTGTAGGGTAGGGTCATTAAACGGTAGTTATATTAAAATCATTTAGTTCAATTATTTACTTATTCCATTTGTATGCGGGTATTATCCTTTAATATATTCATGCTAGCCCAGTTAAGGAGTACATAATCCTAGGTCATGGGATCATAAAATGTGTCCTCGATACAATTTGTCCTTTAAGTAGGACAACCAGATATAATTATATAGAATTTCAATCGACAAACTTACAACCAATTATTTTGAGAACTCATCATAAATTCATTCATTTGTAGGACGTTCGTTTTAGTGTTTACAGAAGTTTTTATTTCGTGTCTGGAAAGTTATTTTTAGTTGCTCATTAATGAGAATATGTTATAGATTTAATATGTTGAAAGAATGGGTGTACAGAGGTTTGTGAAAGATACTTGTAACAGGCTTATTATTGTCATACAGACCATTAATCAAACGCCACAATGCTGACTGAACTGTTAAACCTGCAAAAGGTTATATGCTCAGCTCAGATCAGAACACAAGATACAATACAAAATCAATCAATCAAAAACCAATAGGTTTTAAATTTCTGTAGATTCAAACATTTTTTTATAAACTTGAATTTATTAATATTTCTTTACGATTCCTTAATCATATTGGCCAATATTGGGTGACCAATTGTTTGAATGTCATCAAAGCTAGTATGTGAAGACCGTAGGTGGTAGGTGGCGTTATGTTATTTCTGCCTACTCCAAAGGCGTGAGTGTATGTATGTATGTTTTTATGTACGTTGTAAACTAATTGATTGGTTCATTCGTTCCTATAGTGGTTTTGCAAAGCTCAGCAAGGTCGTGCAGTCAGCCGGCAACCTTCACTTAACATCCAACTAGCGAAAAGAGTGGGCATTGATCTTGAAATGTACCTGACATTTAATAGCATTATATATTGGGCAAGTAGGTTATAATATCAATTGAAATATCTTGAACTACCGGCCCGCTCTTGCTTAGCACGGGTCTCCAACTAGCTCGGTTTTAGTTTTGTTTTGTTATCAAAGCCCCACGGTATCGAATGCGTTGCTTTTTCCTGATGTTCTCCTCTTCTTTTCTTGAATGTTCTTCAACGAGAAACTTCTTGTAACCTCTGGAAAAACTGCATCAAAATAATCTGCGAAATCGGTCCTGCCGTTTATGTGTTATGCCATGACTAAGGGAAATTGGGATTCATATTTTATACATAGACTAACCATTTCCGGATTCGACTAGTTGCCAATTTATCTGCTAGTTTAGTAGTGGAAAATATAGTATAGATAGAGTTGATATGCATGTATTCACGAAATGTACCTGAATTTATTAGTGGACTTTTTATTTTTTGATATAATAAGCCAAAAATAAAGGCAAAAACTGTATTGTTGATCAAATTTTAATATTAATTATTATATTAATAAAAAAAATATGGCCTTCGAGTGTTTATTACTAAGAAGTACGAAAACACAACCGAAAAATTATAAAGGCCATTTTTCATTTACTAATAAATTTTTGTTCTTATTTTGGATCATTTATTTTTCTCGAACCTGGACTCTATTTAGCTGATTGCTCAAAAAGTTTCCTAGAAATGGAATATTTGTAGAAATCTCTGATTTTCTGAGTATCTTTGGATGTATTTTTTATTATTTGACTATGCTCAGAAAAGTATAATATTATTGTCTTCTTCTTCCTCAGCCACAAATAATTGATACTTACTTATTTTCTTCGACTACAAAAATTGGAATTAGTAATAAGAATAAATTTGTTCATGTATTTAGAAAATACTATAAGTACACGTGTTTATGAATGAATCCTGATTTTATCTGCAAACAAGGCACTTAGTCGACAGCTCTTACAAGAAAGCTATGGAAAGTTGTATGACTGTTTTATGTTGATTAACAAACATACATAGTTGATAGGATCGTTGTTAGATAACACTATTTACACGTCTCTATTGATTTCCGATAGATTTGTAGTGACTTGCTTTCTGGTCGACTGATGTATAGTTTAAGGAGTTTTCGTCTTTCATCATCATCTCCACTGGTTTCCTGAATGAGGCCTTATTAATGGCACGACTCAAAGCTCGATCTTCAACTCTTCCCGTCCAACCGTCGCCATTTTGTGTTCACTCTTGTCTTCGAAAGACTGTCCTACCTGAAGCGTTTCGTATTTAACTTTATGAGGAAAATATAAGGGCAGATTAGTGTATGCTAAACCGCTGACGTTGGTACTAACTTTATCAGTGACAACAATCAATGTATTTCGGTTTCCGTAATCAAGCCATTCATTTCAACACCTAGCTTCATTCACAAATATCGCAATATTTAACAATTACTTACAAGTTGGTACTTTATTTCTTAATTTGAAACAGTCTGATTGTTTTGCCCCTCTAAAACTTGTTTTCGGTGGTGATGGTGTATCGTCCTTGGTATTTGTCAATGCCTAAACTAGAAATCCTGTGCGTATGAAAATATAAGGTTGTGTACCTTAAGAAGAATTAGTAAAGTATGTACTTACTGAACAATTTAAATGCCATGTTTCATAGTTTGATACTTGTGAATGTTTAATTTCATAAGTTGATACAGTTATACAACAAAGTGACTTCGTTAGCACCTGCTCTCAAGTCCTCGAGTTAATTATAAATATTAAACATTACGCGTACTTTATTGAAAACTTGTTAGCAAAACCTTTCCGTAAACCGTTTCACCACTTGGACTGTGACAATGTTTCTAATAAACTTAATGTAAGAGAAATCACTAATCACATTACTCGACTTTATGGAACTTATTGATTCTCTGTCTTAAGCACACATAATTGCTTGTCTAACCAAGAAGTGTAGCTAGTCGAAGAAGACAGGTATCAGCCGTTCTATGTCAAATAATGAAATTCAGTAGTTCAGTATCCCCAAAACTAATTGGCTCCTTTTCCCTGATCAACAAGTTCTTGCTCTTTTAAACTAACAAGCCATCTCCAGGAACTCTATCTTTTCCTAGTTCCTAAGTAATCTCGTGAAGTGAAGCCGACCACATCTGCGTCTACTTGATTAGAGGCTTGAATTACGTCCAAGCTTTCTAATAGAGTTTCTACGATGTTTCCACTTTGAGATGAACGAACTTTTCCCATTTGTATGACCTACTTTATTACTTTCTTCCTGGGTATCCTGCAGTGCAACAGATAAATGCGGTGGAACCAGTGTTAAGAGCTCATACGCGTCATAGACACCTTTCTTGTAAATTAGCGCCATATCATATAATCTGTTTTCTGGATATACGCATCGTTTTAAAAAATGAACGTATTGCTTCTCACAATTCCAGAAGCCTATCTGATTGAAAATCAGAAAGTACAGATATTTACCAGATCCGAGATATAAATCCTTAATTCACAATCACCCCTGTGAACAACGAATGTGGTAGTAAATTCTCACATGTATTCGCATACAATAAAGCTGTTTTGATCCAGGTTGACCCAGTTTACAAGTCAGGGTCGTTTGTAACAATACAGGCAATACAATCAAACGTAACCGGTCGAAGCCAGGGGCGCGAAAGGTCGTGGAAACCTCTCTCTACTTTTATCTAATGAAATTATATTTTACCGTGTATTATATATAGCCACCAGCAAATCAAGTGGCGAGTTCTTTTCTTTTTCAACATTATGCTCTTGTAATATAGACGAAAATGTATTGACGAAATTTGACTGTGGGTACTTTTATGTGCTTGTGTCTTCCAAAGGACTATATTTAGATATTAAATTACTACCTTCGGGGAAAATGTAAAGGACGTTCTCCATTACATTTTTGTAGGACTTTTCCTCGTTCGAATGGCGTACTAATGAACTATCTGTACTCAGCGGTTTATTTTTATTCTGTTGATGTTTTCTGTGTAATAGCGAACTTGTTTTGTGGTACCGGGAATTGTGAAAGCTTGTGCGAAAGTGATTTTTCGCAGTGAATGACTTTGCGTTCTATTAATATCTTCAGTTGTAAAATTAAAATATAGTTGATTTTTTATTTTGTTTGTTTTCATGCACATGCTGTTGACGTACTCCCGTGTAATTTATACACAGTTTAGTTTGTTTCACATAAAAAAAAAACAGAATTATTATCGATCATTCAATCCATTTGTAAAGCTATCTGCCGCTGATTTGTATAAGGAAAACCAACAAAAAAATTCAACACT